TTTTTCTCTCATTCGAACCAGACTTTTCTTCTCTCCCTTTCTCCTCTTTTCTCTCTCTCTTTCTTTCTTCTTTCTTTCTTCTTTCTTCTTCTCTCTTCTTGGCTGTTATCAGACTAACAGAACTCAAGGGCAGGCCGAATCATAATAGCCAATTTCAGAATATATATTTGAAAGGTAAAGTTAATACTTTTATTTAAGGGCACAATTTAGTTGAGTAGTTTGAACTAATAACGAAGACATAGGGCTGTCAACGGGTCAGGTCTGGGTCGGGACAGGGTGTCCCAGTCCCAAACCAATTATTAATCAAAACAAAACATACACCTAGAACCATCCTAATTAATAATTGGGATAATCGGGTCTGACCCGACAAACCAAATTATACTGAGTTTTCTTTTTTTGATAATTGAAACTTAATTCATTACTCGAAAGAAAGATCTGTTACAAATAAGCCCAGAGAGAGGCTCAAGCTGCAGCCTCACTCTTTAAAAACAAATCAGAACTACATGAGATACAAGTAACCATTAGTAGAGAGATTATACACAATCACAAAGGTGCCCAGATTATAATGACAGTTATAATTATTTATGTAAATTATAACATAAAACTTGATTTCTGATAATATAACCTCAATAAAAATGACAGTAAAATAGTAAATCATTTATGTGTTAATAATAAATCAAGTGTTTTTAATTAAAATCATCTTACCTATCAAATTTACCATCTTAGACATATAATATAATAAAAATTACAAAAAAAACTAAGAAATCTTTATATACCATTAAGACAATAATCGGTTCAGGTCCGAACTGCTTCGTAACAAGCAAGAACCAGAATCGGTCCAATTATTAATAGGGAAAAAATCAAAGAACCAAAACCGATATAATTGATTTGGTTCAGTTTGAACGGTTGCGTAGAATCAAACCATTAGCAATCCTATTTTCTTTCAATTTTTAATTTTTAAGTTGTGGCAACTGATGAGGAGTAGAAGTGTAGTTGGGGTCTTCCTAGAAACAAGATTGTAGCATGGGTTACTACACCCAGTTGGAACTTGGAAGTGAACATGTAAGTTGCTGATACATCCATTTAGAACTGACGTGCTAATCCATGATTGGCTGCAGTAGCCCATGTTGCACATATTGTGTCTAGTAGATCACCAAGGAGAGAATGAAAAAGAAGCTAATAAAGGTTCAACATTTGTGCATACTACAAATTACTGTTTCGTGTGCATGTAACACCACATACACCAAGAAGAAAAATGAAAATAGGGATGAAAGTAGGAGTATGAGAGAAACAAAAATGCAGTGAGATATAGCACACCACACTCACAAAATTTTCTAGAGGAAGAGAAGAAATAAACAATTTTCAAGGGAAAATTTTAGAAAAAAAAAAGGAAACTTGATCATGGAGAAAAGACCAAAAATAGAGAGCACAAAACTCTCTTTTTATTATAGGCACTATATGACATAAATGTACCCATAGAAAGAGCTAAAGGAAAAATATACCATTTTTTCTAACTAATTATCTTTCTCAACTTTCACTTCAAGTGGAATATAGACACTTTTTGTAATTATATTTTAGCTGGTTAGTTAAAAGATGCCCACTTGCTCATTCACTTAAAAATGTTTTCAAAGCTCATAATTTCATCATTCTCTAGAGGCAAGAGTTCTACCTCCTCAAATGTGATGCTACGCCAAAAGAGGTCCTCCATCTTGAATCAATTCAAGTTAAATTTTGATGGAAGTAGGCTAGGAAATTCTGGTACAGAGCAAACATTGCTGGAGTGATTCGGGATGGAAATGGAATGATTGTGACACTTTATCAGGTCCAACATAAAAAAAGAAGATGCACTAAAGGCTGAAAAGTTGGTCCTCCATTATAGTTTAAAACTTGCTTCTTCGTTAAATCTCAAAGATCTCTTGATGGAGGGAGATTCCCGCACTACTGTGAATCACTTATTAAACAGCAATCTAGGCCCATGAAGATAAAAGAAACACTAAAAGATACAAGATGATAGGGTAGCTGACGTGTAGATTCAGTGGATTCAAAGAGAAGGAAACAAACTGCTAATGTTTTTTTCCTTTCTTTTTTTTTCCGCGGGGGGAATGATAACCGAACTATTGATTAGCATGTACAATTAAAGGGGTGTAAAGGAGTTGGTAGCAGGACCAGGTTTACTTGTACAGCATAACATTCTTTATTAATAAATAAAGTTATCAGTTAACCATTAAAAAAAGGATCAGGTGGATTGTTTCCAACCCAAGTTGTAGGGATGCTTCACATACTGTATATACATCATTTTTTCTTATACATTAATAAAACTTTACAGTTACCAATCAGAAACAAAGAGAAAGAAATTTCAGTTTTCCACCACCAGCAGTAAAACTATGGGAAGAATGAAGCCTCACCTGATCTGCATTGATGAAGCTTGCCAAGCCACAGTCTGAAAGATGAGGATTCAGCTCTATGTCCAGTAAAATATTCACTGACTTGAAATTCTTAAGAACAATGGATGGCGAGCAAACTTCATGCAAATACCTAAATAGAATTTCTTTATAAGTACCAGTCATCCCATCCATAATGATCCTTACAGTGAGAGAGAGAGAGAGAGAGACTGATTCCTAATGAAAAAAAAAATCACTACGATAAAAGTTGACTACAAGCCTTGGGAACTTTTGTAGCAAGCATTGGAGCACCCAGTCCTAGGCCTTAAGAGAACCCAGACAAATTGGTAATAGACTCGGGTGAAAATTTTTTATTTGGTATGTAGGTGATAACTCAATTACATGATTGTTGCCTGACATAACCATTATTAAGTTGAATGGCAATTATAGAAATTAAATGAATTTCCAGAGAGTTGAAATAGAACCATATAGGAGTATAGGACTACTAAAATGCTAAGTTTCATTTGGTTTTTTTTCTCCAATGACCCAAATATGTGATTCTGGGGGCTTCCCATCATATTATGGTAAAAGATACCAAGTTTCCAAAAAAAGGTCTAGAATCAAACATCACTACTTAAAATATCTGTTTTTAAACAACTGAAAAGATCTATTGCACATCTGAGGTTAACTTACTCTAATGCTCGTGCAGCTCCAAGAGCAATTTTAACACGAGTGTTCCAAGTCAATGGCTTGCTGTATTCATCTGAGAGGTGCAGGAAGTCATGCAGCGAACCATTCCTATGAAACTCATACACTAGGAGGTGTTGCCCATGCTCAGAACAATAACCCACCAGCTCAGTCACATTTGGGTGGTGCAGCCGAGAGATGTTCGAAACAACTTCAATGAAATCTTCAGAAGATTGGTTGGGAAGCACAGACGAATCTATCTTCTTCACAGCAAGAACCTAAGCATAAAAAAGAATAAAAGTTAAAATTTATCAACAGAGAAACTATAGAACCTTATAATAGCATTAAAGCCATTGAACTGGTTCCTTATTTCCCAATCTTCTTGGGTGCAGGGATTTTATTTTCAAGTTTCCATCATATTCTTGGAACACCCAGGAGAAAAAAATAATTGAACAATGAATACAAAATTCAGTAGAACGACAACAATTTCAAAGTGGTTTTCTTTCAGAATAGAAACATATAATGAATGCTCCCCTTCCTCACCCCCCCCCCAGTGCAAAAAAAAAAAGATAAAAGATAAAACAAAATCTGGCCAAATGATGCAACCATTACTTCCTCATAAATCAGGTAAATAAGCACTGGAAAGGAAATATACAACAAAGAAAGAAAGGGAAGTTATGCATCAGGGAGATCATACCCTCCCATCATCAAATTGAGCCCAACAAACATGTCCAATAGACCCCTCTAACCAATAAGGTTTTCTAYATTGAAGCTAACTGGAAAGGAAATATACAACAAAGAAAGGGAGCTTATGATCAAGGAAATCATACCCTCCCATCATCAAATTGAGCCCGATAAACACGTCCAATAGACCCTTCACCAATAAGGTTTTCTATACTGAAGCTTCCTGTAGCCATCTGCAGATCAGCTACTGAATACACTGTGGCACTTATCGGATCTGTATTACCCTTTTTGACAATAACTGGCTTGTTCGAAAAGTCATCATCATCAAATGATTTGTGCCGATCAATAGGTGGTGGTTTAAGGTTAATTGGTGTGGAAGTCTCAAATGTCTTGGTGCTAACTGCTGGTGGAGCCTGGATGGACTTCATCTCTAAAAAGCAAGTGCCAATGGTAACAAGTAAGCAATTGAATATGAATGAAACACTTTAAAATAGTGAAAAAGGGTCCTTGAAGATGAATGAGAAACTAACAAGATTTACCAGTGGTAACAAGTAAGCAATTGAATGTGCAATGGCACAAGCATATGCATTACAATCTCTCTCTCTCTCTATCTAGAACTAATAAATAGATAGATAGAGAGAGAGAGAGAGAAACAAGAATAAATTAATATCTAGAGATGATAATTTTATTAATTATAATGCATCATCTAGAACCTATGGCTAAGGTGGATAACATGGGAGAAAACTAAAATAAAAAAATACTCAACATTTTCTGTTTTCGGTTGAAGTAGCATAAATAATCTCGTAAAGGCAACATCTAAAGTCCAGACTTCATTGTCAAGTATCTATTCTATATACTTAAAACACAGTTGTCCAATCATCTGAAACATCTCCCCACTATTTTTCTAATTTTCTAAAATTTTGTAGTTTTTAACATAATCTCTACTATCTCATGTTCCCAAACATCCAAAGCATCTTCCCCTCCTAAATTTTCTCCAAAACTATCTCATATTCCCAATTAAAATATTAACATTGAAGTTAAAATTTAAATATAAATATAAGTAAAAAAATCTAAAATACTAATATGAGAAAAAATAGATAATAAATAGGATAAAACAATAACAGTGAAATATGATAATTAATAATTAATTATAAAATGTTATTATATTTATAAATAATTACATATTCTTCTAATAATCATTAATTGTAATTAATAACGAAAATTATAATTTTAATCCATTTCAGTTATAGCTCAAATTATAAAAATTAACACGAATCAAATAATAAAACAATAAAATTAATAAATGCATTAGTTTTATGAGTATTTTTATTAATTTAAATTCCATTTGAAAATAATTAAAGTTAACATAAATTAGTAGCAATAAACAAAATTAATTTTAATATTAAAATTTATTAATTTTAAAATGAACTTTAAACTTTTTATTAATAAAAAATAATAAAAGTGTATAATTTTAAAGTTAATTTTTGCTAATTTATAGTCCATTTAAAAATAACAAAAATTAATCCAAAATTTGACCACTCTCATTGGGGTGCAACTAGGATTGCAATTAAACTGGCTAGACATAACCTAAAAAATAATGCTTGAGTTGGACTTGAACCAGCTTGACTCAATTGAGAATAGGGGTGATCATTTCCAACTCAGACCAACCCAACCCAGCAACTTCTGGGCTTGGACCTCAGTCTTGTTTTTAGCCCCGACACAGGCCTAGGCCTACATCAGGCTCGGAAATTTTAGGGTCAGGCAAGAGCTCAATACTTCAGATCTGGCCTGGCCTACAATATGTACAATATACTGTGTGTGTGTGTGTGTGACTGTGTTTTGTTTTATATTATACTATATTATATATGAATATTATAAAATAACACTATATTATTTTTATAAATTATAAAATATATTTTATATATAATGTAATAAATTATGTGTGTATTAAATACACTGTAAGGCCCAAATCTAGCCCATTATCACTCCTAACTGAGAATGTCATTAGGCTCCTTCTGCTTCAATTTCTCTTAACAAAGCCCATACATATGAGGCCCAACTTGTACACTATATTGAGGGATTTCTTTCCAAAAACATGATTTTTTATCAATATCCTGAAAACATGATCAATTAATAACCAGAACAAGTGTTAGTGTATATGCTAAAAATGGTCTCCCTCTAAGTAGTAAAATATGAGGATACAATTAAAATTAAGATCAAGGTACCTCAATTGTATGGTAAGGTTGCACTTGTGGTACACCATTATCATGCATACATTTACTAAGTATAAGGTAAATGATGAATGAGTTCCATTAAATTTCCCTTTTCCTAGCTGGGGATGTTAAACAAATTACAAGTTGATCAAGGAGAACAAAGACTCTATTTTTCTCAAAGAAGGAAAAGGAAAAATGGCACATATCAATATCAAGACCAAATTGCAGCAAGACAAAATTGGCAATTGTCAATTGCTCATACAACATAACAGTCAACAAAAAATATTTCCATTTATTTAATTTCAACCAGAATCTCCATTACCTCGAATTTCATTTGAAGCAAGGGGGGTAAAAGGCTGATCCGTGTCATGTTTTTCCACATCTGAGAAGGATTTTCTAGTTCTCTTTTTTATCAAAAAGAATGCTACAATAGCACCAACAACCAAAATTGATATCACAATTCCTGCAATCCCTCCAGCTCCAATGCCTGATTTTTTCCCATCTCCACTACCATCTGATGAGTTACTATTGCTTCCAGATTTGTGATTTCGGTTGGTATGATCACCAGGTGGAGGTGTATATGGTGGAGGTGGTGGTGCAGGGCCTGAGTTCCAAGAGTTACCTTGAGTTCTGGAATGAAAATAGTAAATGTCACATCCAAATAATCACCAACATTTCACATAAAGGTATTAGTCATGGTCCTGTAAAATGCTTACTGCAAATTCTTTATATTTTTCAACTGTTCAGGAATCCATCCATTGAAATGGTTGTTTGCAACATTCCTGAGAGAGAGAGAGAGAGAGAATAAGATGAGCCAAATGAAAAGAGACCCTTTTTAAGAGAAATAAATATCAAATAAGCTTTTCAATTTTGGAAATATGGATTACTCACAGATTATCAAGGGGAAGATTTGCAAGGACATCAATAGGACCTGTAAACTGGTTATTTTCTAAATACCTGCATGATCATAAATAAGTAACAAAAGATTGAAACAAGATCTACTATGAAGTAAAAAAAAAATCAGATAACCCCTTTTCTCTATCTACTTACATTGTATTCAAACTTGAAAGAGAGCTAAAGCTCTCAGGAAGATTTCCGGTAAACGAATTGAAAGATAGATCCCTGGAGCAGAAAAGTGTTATTGTTATTACTATTATTAAGTAATTATTCTGAATTTTGATTTTGTTATTGCTTTTGTAACTTTGAACTTCAGTGAGAATGCCAAATCAAAATGATAGCTGCTGGGTTTGAATAAGTTTAAATCATATTTTACAATGGGTATCAGACTTAGCATAAAGCATGGGAAGCCACCTGCTTGCACTAATACTAATGCCATTTGGCACAAACCAAAGTAAATTTTGAGGCCCCTTACAAATCACAACCCACAGTAAACTTCAAGGAAAAAATACGAATGCAACACGGAATGTCTTATTATCAATAATTGTCACAAGTACACAGCAATTAAACCCAAATAAGATGCTGCATATTCAAATATCATGGTGAACCCATTACTATTATCATATTTTTCTAAAGTAAATAGGATCATTGTAGCTTACAATGTGGTGAGGGCAGAAAGCTGTCCAAACATGTCATTTAGTTGGCCCTGAAGTTGATTGTGACTGATGTTTCTACATTCATACAAAAAATGCGTCTTTAGTTTCAGTCATTTAGATTGACTTAGTTACTGAAGAAAATTCCACTAGAACAAATTTGACTCACAGGTATTTAAGAGAAGTCATCTGAGAAATAGAATACGGGATTCCTCCATTGAAAGAATTTCCAGCTAGGTTTCTGCAGATCATAAATCAGACTTGAGGTCAGTGGAAAGAAAGGGTGAAGAAAAAAGAAAAATTTATCAGAAGGTTGCTATAAAAATCAACAATAGAAAAAGTTTACACTGATGAAACTCACAGTTGCTGCACATTTGGAGGAAGTTGATATGGTATCTGGTTTCCAAGAAAGTTGTTGCTTATGTCTCTGTATGAATTTCAGCAAATCATTTCAACAAGCTTAAACTAAAATGTAAACAGATAATTAAGGGTTTTCAGAGAAGTGTGCTATTTACAGGGTGGTTAATGAAGTTAAACTCGATAGTTGGTATCCCATTGATCCAGTAAGCCCAAGACCTGATAATTTGCTGATGAAACATTAAACAGCAGAATCAGAAAGAAATACAGAATTGTTGGATGCTTAGACATACCATATCAAGCAAAATAATCAATCTAATAAAAATAAAAGAAAGAAAGGAAATTACATTTCTGTAACTGCTTGGCCTGAACAAGTAATGCCTTTCCAAGAATTCCCACATGGATCACCACCAGCTGAGCTCCAACCCGTCAGCTGAGCTGCTGAGTTTAGACTGCTGTACATAATTCTAAGAGCAGAAGCTGTGCATTTAAGAAGTCATGGGGATCAGCAGACTATCAAATCCAAATGCACCTGTAAATTTAGTGTTTTCCCTGCTTCTTGTTTGATAGAAGGTTTCCATATCTATAACGTGGAAAACTGGACACCACCCAAGTTCCACGGACGTAATTCATAATGTGCACATATCCCATGAACATTTTTAAGAAAAGCATAATTTTAATTTATAAATCAAAGGGAAGGAAGCATACTCTGTCAATATGAAACTGTAGCAAGAACATCACCCAAATAGAAAGAATACAAAATATCCACAAAATCTTCAAAAAGAAAAGAAAGAAAAACAGTGCACAGGGAAGAAAAAAGAAAAAGAGCGACTATTGTTTTTTTATATGCAGGAGAGATAAAGATAGCTTCATGATAGAAGGAGAGATCACCATGTCCTAAGTTTGCTACTATCTGTTAGAACTTCTAATTTATTAAAACAAAATCCCAGGTTCATACTCCCTAAGGTTAACCATCCAAAGCCAAATAAAACACTACTCTGGGAATCCATCTTCAAATCCCAGGCTCATAATTCCAAAGGTTAGTCATCCAGAGACAAGAAAGAAACGCCAATGTTGCAACATAGCAACCATAACCAATGCAAAAAAATGCTACTACTTTCAGAACTCTTGCCTCTGATATCTCAACCTTTTTCTTAAAAAGCCCAAGGTATCCAATTGAAAATGTAAGAACAAGAATAGTCTTATGGAAGCAATCTAGCATTCATCTGTTAAAGGATATAAAAAATTGCTTTCTAGTTTGCTACAGGAAGAAAATTTTCACTTCTTTGGTCACTCCTGTGTCTTCTCAAAAGGCAGCACTTCGTCATCTACAACCCAAGACCCATTTTCAGAGGCCAGAAATCTTTTGGACCAATAGTAAGAGAACAGAAAGGAGGTCAGTAAACGTTCTCGAAACTAAAAACTGCAACATTTTAGCAACCTTGGAGAAATCGCAACCAAAACCGAATCAGCGTACAAAAAGAAACAAAACAACTAATGTCACAAGCAGCCATTCTAACCAACAACGCTTAACTCCTTGGCAAGTTGGCATCGCTCTTTTTAGACAAAAGAATCAAAGATGCAATATTACCTTGGCATTGGTCCAAAAAGAAACAAAACGACTAATGTAAGAAGCAGCAATTCTAACCAACAACGCTTAACTCCTTGGCATCACTCTTTTTAGACAAAATAATCAAAGACGCAATATTACCTTCTACCAGATATCATTCAAGAAAGAAGGGGGAAAAAGGGAATTTTATTTCCTCTATCTAGTAAATACGTGCTTTCCATCTCAGAATTTTAACAAGCTAAAAAACATAGAAAAGGAAGAAAAGGAAAAAAAAAAGAACCCCTTTCGAAAGCAAGAATCAAAGAAGCGAAATAACAAAAATAAGATCAAAAGGATCCATTTCAATAACTCGAAATCTACTTAAACTAGACAGTATACCAAATAAAAGCATGCAACATATCATATACACACCTCAACAAACAGCACCCAGTCCCCATAGTCAATCCAAACACAAATCAAGCTCACACTAACAAAGCAATGAAGATCTTACCAAGCATTGCACCTTAAATAATCATACAATGCCCAAACACATGAACAAGCAACCAACACCTGACTTCAAACCAAAACTTAAAGACAGTAAAAAATGACTGAACCACAGAAATAGGTTTCAAGAGAGGATCGAAATGCTCACCATCAGTTTCATTTGTGGCACCATTGACGAACCCCGGAATCCAGACAGAAAGGAAGACCACAACAACCCAAACCTCCATAGTCTCTCGCCAGAGTGCCCGAGCAACAGACCCCTCCATTAGCCTCCTCTTCCTTCCTCCTCCTTCCTCCTTTCTCCTTTTCTTTTCTTTTTTTTTTTCCTGATTTTATACACCCAGATGTAAGTAAAGCTGGCACAGACGGCGAGAAGAATCTAAAACCACAGAAAGTCTTAATAATTCACCAAAACAATACACGCATTCAGGGTCTTAGCTTGTTTTTCTATTATTTTCTATTGCTTAACCCATGACCAGAGGATAACTCTGAAGCAGCATCAAGAATCCCCACCCCTTCACGCCGTTACTTTTCACAAACTAACGGCGACTAACGATTCACGGGACTCTCGCAAAAGGTTCCTCTTATTGGTTCGTTGAATCAGAACTAGCCGTAGGATCCACACCAACGGTCCAAAATTTTCTCCCTTGAACTTTGTTTCGTTTGATTTCTTTCCAATTATTTTTCGTCGTAAAAGTTAAAACTTTGGATCCGTCCGTCAACGTCAGAGAAATTATATGATTTTTCTCTCCCTTACCTTTTTCCCTCTCTCGCTTTTTCCCCTATTGCAATCCTACTTATCGTGCAAATAAGATTTTAACCGCTCTTGTTTACTGTGCTGAAGTCCCTCCGACAAATAATTTTCTTTTTACAGATACCCTTTTTTTCCGGCCCAATTTCTTTTTTTGTTAAGTTCCGGCCACGATTTCGGGGACTTGAATTACAAATTCAGAGATATAAATTCTAAAAGAAAAAATCAGTAGGACAAAATATCTTTTATTCTTGTACTTGACATGTCTGATCTTAGATCCGAGAAAAACCGGTAGGATAAAAATAGTGTTCTTAGAAATCCCCTAACAGTTTCCGAAGGAATGTTCTATCTAATCTCTCCGTCTTTTCATCTCTTAATCTTTCTCTGTGTCTGTGCGTGCGCGCGTAACAAAGAATGTTAATTTTGTCTTCAATCAACGCTCAAGGTCGAGTATCTCCTTTTAGAAGGAAAGTGTTCTATCTATCTGCGTTGGCACGTTTCAGCGTTTCGAGCTTGGTTTCAACAGTGTCTGTATTCTGTAGGAGAAAAACATGCATCTTGCTTAAGCCTTGCATGAGCTAAAACCTGAGCAAGCTTSAAAACCGAACCGACTAATTGAGATTCAAAAAAAGAATCATTTCACGGCCGAAAATATGGCAACGCTATTCCAAGATGCTACTGTTCACTTCATACTAGCCTGACTTTTGCTCCGGCGGTAGCCGGTAAGGTAATCCAGATAGTAAGAGTATATTCCTCTCGACCGGGTTTAGATTCACTTTTACGCGCAGTAACCAATAAGAAGGATGGATATACACGAGATCTCACAACTAATATGTTATTGTTATTCTTGGTAAGATAGTTGTATTTTTTTTAATTATTTTAGTATTCGGTAAGATAGTTCATAGATTTATGTTATTGTCAATGTTCAGTTGTTCACCAACAGGACAAGGACCTTGGTGATGATTAGATTAAAGGAATTTCTTTATTTCCAATTTCTCTGAATCGTATTATCGCGACCGTTCAAACCGAGTCATCCAAAAATAGAAAGTGATAACAAATGAATCACCAGATTGGTGCAACGTGTACGACGCAGATAAAAAGACTCGTATCGTCCATTGAATTTTGACTATGATTAGGAGATATAGGTAATTTCTTGATTTTTATTAAGTAATAAAATAAAAATTGTTGGCAAATCCAAATGCCAGGTGGAAGCGGAAAAATTATGCTACTACCACGCTGGAAGACGTCACTACCGCGTGCCACGTCGTGGTTGATAGTAGATACAGGTTGTCTCCAATGCATAAATGAAAAGGGGGCACGGCACCTCGGGTCGTGTCGGTGGCTCTTTGTCTTTGATTCCACTGAAAATTAATTACACTTGCGCAAATAGTGTTGTTATTCTACATGGATTAATGGGAAAAAGGTAAAAGAGAAATGAAAATGTCCCAAAACACCAATGTAGTTATTTTAGATCAAAATGTTTATTCTTTAAATTTTTTCCTCATATTAATCGCCAGCCCAAAACCCTCACAATCTCTTTCTTTTTAAATTGGTTTGTTTTTCAAATTTGTCCTTTACATCAATCATTGAAAAGCAAAGTTGCAATTTTAAATTCTATATTTTTAGTTATTTATAAAATGTGTATTGTTTTTTAGAAACCAAAATCAATAATAATTATATAGGTATTTTAGACATTTTGTGCCCCTTTTTAGAAGATTATAACAAAGTGGGTCTACTTGCAACTATATCAAAAAGTTAAGGGGAGATTTCAACAATTTGCCCAAACTAAAAAACGAGATATTAGAATAGAGGTGAGGATATGGAAATTTTCCCTATCCCTATCAGATATCTGACTTCTCCAACCTGATGGGGTTGGGGATGGAGATTGCCTTGGTGGAACGAGGGCGAGGACAGGGGTGAGAGGGGAATTCCCCACCTTGCCCTAGCATCAATTATATATATTAAATGTATAATATTCTTTATACCAAAACATGTTTAAAATATCTATATATTTGAAACATTCCCTTATTTTAAGCAAGGTTCAAAGTATCGATATAGGGCGATACGCCGATAGGGCGTATATCGGTACTCTTTTTTTTATTTTTTTTTTATTTTTTTGAATCTAGTTCAGAGGGGCCAATTTAAGGCTGATTTACCCCTTGAACCACTTTTTGACCTGAAACACCCCATGTAGGGGCATATCGGGAAGGCTCCAATACGATATGTATTGGCCGATACGGACCGATATGTATCAATACTTTGAACATTGATTTTAAGTAACTCTATTTTTAAAGTAATTTTAATTTAAAAAATTTAGAGATTCTAGTCCCCTAGGAAACACATTTCTATCAAGACTATGGACGAAGGGTCATTTTTATCCCTAACGGAGATCAGGATCATGATAGAGATTTGTTTCAAAGGCAAGTAGGATGGGGAATATGATTCCAAACTGGCCTTGTTGCCATTCCTAAGTGGAGGCAACCGATATGTTGAAATCAGCCCCCCACAAGATAGTTTCCCACAACATCCCACAGTACATCCTCGCTGTGAATAGGGAACATCTCCTGATGATGATGTATCACCATTTTTAGTATTATCATCGGGAGATGTTCCTAATACACGGCGAGGATGTGTTGTGGGAAACTATCTTGTGGGGGCCTGATTTGAACTCGCAACCGATATGAATGGGAATCTGCTACCACCATAATGCTCCCAACCTTGTCCTAACAGGCTATTGCAACAACACATTGAGAACATCTCATTTGTCAAGTTCAAATCTGTCCCCACTGAATGCACCAAAAAATGTTGCACAGTACATCCCAACCAAGTATTGGAAATATCTCTCAATGGCAAATATGGAAGATATTCTCAATGTACGCAAAGGTGTGCATGTGGGGCGTTTTAGGGCACATTCTTGGGGTTAAATGTGAACTCCACACTCGTCATACATGAGAAGATGTTTCCAATGTAAGACTCTAGGAATGGCAACGGGGTGAGTTCGGGGCGGGGAGTACATTCCCATCCCCGACCCCGACCCTCAAATCACCCCCCATCCCTGTCCCTGATCCCCGACGGGAAAAGGAATCCCCCCTCCATCCCTGACTCCGACGAGGATGAATTCACCGTCGGAGACCTGAATCCCCGAAACTAAGAGAGAGAGAGGACCATTGGGACTTGGGAGAGTTTATGTCGATGATGACTGATGAGAGAGTCCAAAGAGTAACAGCGACAACAACAATGATGAAGGTCGGCGGTCTGCGAATCGGGGACGAAGACGAAGTCTCTTCCTCAGTTCTTTGGCCTCTCCTCTGTTTGATGTCCGACGGGGGAGTGGGCAGTGGCAACAGTCAGCGACGGCGGTTGGCGGTCGGCGGCCGACGAATCGGCGACGAAGACAAAGCTAGGGTTTACTGTTTTTGTGGTTCAGTCACCTCTCTTGAGTCTTCTCTGTCGAAGACAAAAGAATGAAGATTAGTAACTGGTTTAGTCAAGGGTTAAGGGTTTTCCAACTTTTCAACTTTTCTTGATTTCTTCCAATTATGTTTTACACTTTTAGTTTTTACTGTTTTATAAATAAATTAAAAATTATTATACTTATATAATATATTATATATAATATAATATAATATTAATCGGGGACGGGTTGGGGGGGATTGCATTCCCTGTCCCTGTCCCCATCCCCGGTTGGGGATCTATGGGTAGCCCCATCCCCGACCCGATGGGGTCGGGGAGCTCGGGTACCTATCAGGGACTGGGAAAATTGCCACCCCTATAAGACTCCAAACACTTGTCATACATGAGAAGATGTTTCCAATGTAAGACTCTAATAACTTGTTGGGACAATGTTGAGGTGTTGGTAGCAGAACTGAACGCAACCAATATTGCATGATTTTTTTTTTTATAAAAGCAGAAATTTTCAATGAAAAATTCAAAATTATTATTATTATTATTATTATTATTATTACTATGAAAAATAATGTATCAAAGCTGCTCAAATATTTAACAATGGATACTTCTTATTAGCATCTTTTATATATATATATATATATATATATATATAAATATATATATAAATTAAGATTATTTATTGAAAATTCTTAAATTACAAGAAACAAACATAAGGAATCTTATATAACTTATTTGTCACAGGTTTTCAGGTCGACGGTTCGACCGTTCGATTCAAACAGACGGCCCGTTCTGACAACAAAAATTACAAACAAAAGATTGAGTGTGTGAGGTCCATTAAGCAGTATCATACGTGTTATGTCATTCGCGCGTGTGACTCATACGAAAATAGAACTGTTTTGCCCACTGGTTTTTGGGTCGACAACTCGACCGTCTAGTTTAAACGAACAACCTATTATGACAACAAAAAATAAAAAAAATAAGAAAGGCCAAAAACCATAGAACGGGTCAATAGGTAGATGGTTCGGTTGCTCGGGTTAGTGGGTCATTGACCGATTCAACGGTTTTGGCTAGGGACCGAGATTGGTGTAAAACGCAATTGGTTGCCTAGACAGTTCCCAATTAAAAAATTTTAAAAATGTTGGTTCAAACGGATGGCCCGTTCTAACAAAAAAAATAAAAAAATGGCCAAAAACCATTGAACAAGTCAGCAGGTTGACAGTTCAACCGCTCAGGTCAATGGGTCGTTGACCGATTCAATGGTTTTTGGCTAGGGACCGGGATTGGGATAAAACGGAATTGGTT